TTGTATGAACGCATGCATGTACGTATGTATGCATACAACGCATACATACATACATACATACATACATACATACATACATACGTACATACATACATGCATGCATGCATGCATGCACACATACTTTAGACTATAGCATAAATAGGTTCCCAGAGGCTCCGCATAGCAATACGAGTGCTCATACGCTGGCTTGTCCACTAATTACGAAGCGCCCTGATTCTTCAAATACCTGTGTAACCGGGTGGAGTTTAAGGTTTAGTCTATCCGGCCTCTCTGCGAAGACCAACAGAAGCCGAACCCAGAATTAAGTCGAGGGTTACTACAAAATAGTACACACGACAATGAGACTCATTCGCGGGCAGCAGCTGCATAAAAGTATAAGAGTATTGCGAATGCAGCAAAGGCAAGACGACAGCAAGCAAGAAACAGTGAACAATATGCGCTCTCTCTCTCTCTTTCTCTATACATATATATATATATATGTATTATGTAGCTGTACATCTCAAAATCAAAGACGGTTTAAGGCTATTCCGGCCTAAGGTTTGGAGTCAAAGCAGGTTCAAGGTCTGTGTAAGCTCGTAGGTCCGGCCTTGCGTGGAAGTCGATGGGTATGGTGTTAGGGCGTGCAGAGCTACGTAAGGTGTTAGCGGTTATGGTTTAGGGTTTAGGGTTTTGGGTCTTGGGTTTAGGGTTGGGCAGTCATGAAAGCTAGCAAAAGAAAGCATCCATGTATGCCGAAGCTAGGACAAAATTTCCGAAATGGGGTTCCTTTTCGAACACAACATGTTCGTTAAGTATGGGGCTCTACAACTGTACCTGTAGTCCCTCGAATGAACTGAGCCATGAGCTCTTTTGGGGTTCACTTGGTACTTAAAGGTTTCGAGTTTAGGGTTTAGGGTTTAAGGGGTTAGGGGTTTCAGCACTCACTCTCAGACAAGCCTAGGCGAGGTTCCTGGTACATGACGACCAGAGGGTTTAGGGCTATGCGAGGAAGGCTCATCTTTTGGTGCTAAGATGTGCTAAGATGGTCTAAAACACTCGCAAAGAGTGAAAGTGGCATGTTCAGCCTCTGAGCTCATGGCTTTTCAAGAGAGTTCAATATGCAGGTCTGAAAACTCGGCAGTAATATAGGGACCTGTATAATAAGATTAAGGTTTTAGGGCCCATTATACTATAAATATAATACGGAAACCCCAGAATAGGATTGGTAATTATTTGGGCTTCTATATTAGCACTCCCTCCTTGCTCCGAGTGTATCGTAATGCAGCCCCGAACCCTATTGAGAGGACGAGCGGCCTTAACGACTAGAACAGTGTTCGGGGGCTCCTTCTTATAATTATAGTATAAGATACCGCCAAACCCTATTTTAATTATTAAGGCCCCAATATTAAGTACGGGGGTCCCTGTACTGTAAGATTGTTGTTTTTGCTTTAGCGCTCAGGGTTTTGGAGGCGGGTGCACAGCACTTTTTTCCTTGGCTCTCTGCCCAGCCACTTTGTCCGAACGTCATGATGTAGATTTTCAAGGGTTTGGTTGGAGGTCATCATCAGCTGAGAGTGAGCCGTTCGCATCTGAACCAGCTCACGCTGCTGTCACGGAAGCTACCCTGCCCTCATGATGTTTACGACCTGTCCGCTAGCAACATTTTGGGCCCCTGCTACGGGATGGCAAAACATAGATGACCCTACACCCTAAGCCATGATTCTTGAAAGCTTTCGATTCAAAGCTGTCGAGGTTAGGATTTGTAGCCATTCTAGAGAACCAACTGCTACAAGGACCATTGAAAGGATCCCTTAAGAAACTGGGTGCCCTGACCATAAGCACACCAGCATTGGAGCTTCGGAGTAGGGCTCAGCAAATACCCAAAAAACTGGTAGAGCGAATGCAAAGACTTGGCTTCGGGGGCTTCTGGGACTGGAGTAGATTTGATGTCTCGCCGGAAGTGACAGGACGGAAGGATCCTTACTAAGGGCTTAAAGGGCCCTGAATCCCCCAGTCGTTAGACTCTAGAGGCCGAAAGCACAGCTTGAACCCTAAAGCTTAAACCCCTCGGGCCGTGGAAAGGAAGTCATCAACCGCACTACAGGGGTCGCTCACTTCATCGGAAGGCTCCGGCTCTGTTCGCTCCTCGCACAGGGGGCTTTGCTGTTTAGTTTAGAGTTTGGGGTTAGGGTTTTGGGGGGTTCGAATCGAATGCTGCAGAAGCCTTACTCGAGGCTTAGGATTTGAAGTGCAGCATCTTCGGGGTCTGCGGATTAGGTGACTGGGATCTAAGCATGATTGGGACATTTGATGATCTATATCATGCAATGCCATAACAAGGAATACACCATGATTCCCATAGTTCAGGGTCCTTAAGGTAATGCAGGATGTATATCATCAACAGGAGCATGGTGGCTCTTACCCCTTTTGGTCTTTTGGTGAAGAAGGTTTTAGGGCTTCCGCCACAGGGGCAATGAACTAGTCCTTAGTCCTTAGCGCTTAGGGTTTAGGGATGCCATGAACAAACTTGGAACCTAAACCCTAAACCCCTAAAGCCCTAAAACCCTAAACCCCTAAAAACCTAAAGCCCTGAACCCTAAACCGCTTTTTGCATCAGGTCTTGTGCAATCGCCTGAATGTCCGAGCCTTAAACTCCTAAACCCCAAACCCAATTGTACTATAAAGGGCCCCAAAACGGCATTCCAATTATTAAGGCCCCTACATGACATGTCCGCCGTACTCCAATAGAGAACCCAATGCAGAGTAGGAAATATGGACTTTAACCGTACATCGTGTACCATACACCCGAAACTCTAAACTCTGACACCCTAATCTTCCTAAGCCAAGTAGCAAACCCCGAAAAGTTGGAAATCGGATTAAGGTCAATTTGTACTGGGATTCCCTGTACATTGCCCTTAAGGATTGAAGCTATTGGGTTTCCAACTTTTAGGCTTCTACTGTCAGCCGAACTCGTCGTCTTTACCAGTCAAGCTACCTCGGCAAGCTCCGCCGCACTTGCATTCTCCCGCCTAGGCGGGTGCAAACGGTTTATAGGGCCTCCGTGAAACTTCGGAAGTTTCGGGTTCCAGGTTGTAGCATTTACAGTTTAGGAAAAACGGCGTCGGGTCCACAATTTGTTTAAGGTTTAGGGTTTTCGATTGTCGGGAGTCGGGATTAGCGTTGCGAGTCGTAGACTTTAGGACTTTAGGGTATAAGGCTATAAGGCTTTGACCCTTGATGGCCTTAAAGGTTCTACCCCGTAAGGGGTCATACTTTCCTTGTTTCGCGGGATTCGGGCTACAGGTAGGATTGCAAAAAGATGTAAAAACGAATGTACTTGTGTATGTATCTACGCGGCCTGTCTGTCGGTCTCTCTGTGTGTCTATTGTCTGTCTGTCGCTGTCTGTATTCTGTCTCTGTCTGTCTCTCGTCTGTCTCCCTGTCTCTGTCTGAATCTGTCTCTCTGTCTGTCCCTCTGTCCGTCCGAGAACAACAAACAAGAGATCGTGCTCCCAATATCAAGCCCGCGACCACAGAATGTTGCCATCCGTGCCGTTCGATAGGCCTGCGCAGCAGAGTGCCGGAGCAGCCGTCAAAATGGACAGCTTCTCACTCTAGGCGTGATGCTTCAGTACTGCCTTTGTCTTACTTCCCCAACACCGAATAGCGTAAGCCATCACAAGTTGAAACTTTCAGAATAGGACCACCGTGGACTAAGTGAGAAGAACCCCAAAAGCTTGAAAGTTGGTCTTTGGACTATTCAGTTAAGTGGGCTCTCGGAGGCTCGAAGTGCAAGGCTTAGCCTTTAAGGGATCCTTTAGTTTAAGGGTTCCTTTAAGGGCTTAGGCCTTTTTGACACTCACACTCGGACAAGCCTGGGTTGAGGATTTAGGGATAATGGGGGCAGCGACAGAGCCGAGCTTGGTGGTACGTACATACTTGAGCAGTAACAGTACGAAGTGCTGTCGTTGCCAACATCGCCACATATGGTCAAGAGAAACACAATACACACCATCACCATCATCAACCCTAAACCCCAAAC